ATACCCCGGAGCAATGCTTCTCGTACCGAATCCCTGGTTATGTCTGCAACTACGAGATTGGGGTAACGTGCACGAATTTTGCTGAAAAGGCTCAGCAGGGCTGTTCTCAAAGGGGAATCTGGAGAAGAGAAGGTCATGTAAGCGAGGGTAAATTGCAGACACCACTGATAACTATGGAACTCGTGGCAACGAGTGCATTAATGCTGACGATTAGAAGACCATACGGCAGGGTAGCTCCTAATTTTATTCGAAACTAGGAGGAGGACGGATATGCCCAAGTGGGATTCATTTGAATCAAAGCAGCACGCTCTCTCTACTGGTCCACAGAAAACTACAGATCTGATATTGAGGAAACAGGCTGGTGGGAATCAATGTTTCCTTTACGAGGCCTTACGCAACGTTTCTTGACATAATGGCATGTTAACCTGGCTTATGTGTAAACTATTTCTTTGTAAATTTACCCACCATATGATTCGTAGAGAACGAACAATTCGCATCAAGTAAGTTATGCATTTCGTAAAATCCGCAAGTTCAAAAACACGCCTATTAAACAATATATTTACTGGAATGGACTTCAGTTCTTTCGAAGTATACCCAAGTCCCAGATAGTCGGTGATGACTGATATAAAACAGAAACAAATGTCAGTAAACAACACGAATAGGGATTGATTTTCCATCCCATTTGAAACTAGGTCAAATTCACGCATTCATCAAGGGACCACACTTGCTTACCTGTGTAAGCATAGAGCCGGAAATTGGTTTCCACCAGAATGTAACCGACCTCTGCGACGGTAGCCGAGGGAGGATTAGCGTGAGAAGTAGTTGATGTGGAGAGTGACTTCGCGGACCTCAAACCTGGAGCAGACACACCCGTAGGCAAAAAGCTCATTGAATCCGAGCCTGCTGCCGAAGCTGCGCCTGGTGCAACAGACAGGCCACCCGTGATATTACCAAGAGATTTTTGGGTTCTGCCGTTGCTCGAAGAACCGAAAGAAAGACTGAGTGCTAGTCGAGTGACGTAGAACCTGGGTGCCGTGCGTTTGCGTTGATAAGCTAAACCAAGTTCTCTCATGTGTTGAAGAAGATTTTGTTGGGTTTCTGACAGCACCTCTGTGGGATAGCTCTGGATATTGGGGAAAAATCAACTTAAACTTTTAACTCGAGTTTGACTCTCGATAAACTGATATATTAGTAGAACTTAAGTGGCAGAATTGGCGAACCTTCAGTTGGCTAACAGGAGGTTGCGACCTAGGGCGCATAATGGATGTTAAGATTAAGAAATTCGGTTCAATTGAAGGCTTAAATAAGTTCTGGGAACAATACGAGTAAGTTAAAACTGTTTGATATTATGGCAAGGTAAGGGGTTACGTTAACGTGAACTTCGTATTTTATAGAACACTGTAACATATAGTGGGACCAAAATGATGTAAACGGGTCATGCACACCTTACCAGGATCAAATAGTTTAAAAACTGCACAAATGCAAAATTTAAAAAGGCAAGAAAATAAATGAGCCCTGCGGGCAACGAAGTCACCCATTACTTATACTTCCGAAATATAACCCTAAATGTTTTTGACCATCCATAAGAATCCGGAATGTATATTGCTAGTTGATTATCCATCATTGTCTAGCCCTAACCAGCTCCAAGGTCTGCGACTTCTGAGGTTGTTATCTGCAATTTGTTGTTTAGATGTCCAGCGCCTCTCATGTTGCAAGTCCGTAGTTGGGTATGACTGGTGGTTAATAAGCTAGAAATGACAATTCTTGTCTTCTTTGTCTTTATGATACTGGCTGCAGAAGATAAAGACATTTACAGGTAGGAGGATGGACAAGTGCTGTTTAGTAGCCAGAAGTCGCCTGAAGCTGCCACTTATCTTGTAAGTTACTGATGACAACTCAGACACAATTCACACAAAGACCCGCGAGATTTATCCAGTAATTAATAGTTGGCATCTAGTAACACAGACAGGACAGGTCTACCATAGAAATGAAGCAAAACTCGCATCGAATCAATGACACAGGCTGGAGTTCGCTGCCTCGTATGACCACAAATATGTTGATCGGAAAAAAACACCCGTTGTCTTATTTGAACTATTTGGAGTTCTCTTTTTGGTTGAATTGACAGTCGTTAAAAGCGTTATTATTATGTGGAAAGTAATACCAGAACAAATATGGGACTCAGAAAATGTGTATTCCGGACTTGACTATGGGTAACAAGACTTTAAAATTTCCGGCGTAACTCGAGGATTGGTAACCATGAATAGCATCTAGTCTATTTTAGAAATTATGGCGATTAATATTTAAACACACATTTTAAATAGGACTATTTATCTTCAATATATTGCCCCCATACGCAACCGAAAATAAAAAGGAACGTGTCACGGATGCGGTCCACTTACTAAAACATGAGGCCAGAATATTTGTTTTCAGGGTGCGCGCTTTCACACAAAATACTTCAATTACCACAAATATAGTCAAAACTAGAGAAGTAATTAGGAATATTAACAAGACATTAGCTACGTATAATGATAAGCATATTCTTCAAGTATCTTAACGGAAAATTACTCACCTTTCCGATCGATAGGAAACTCAACTGGAAAATAAACTGCAACGCTTCGACTAGATTTAGGCCTTCTTCCTAAAAGTGTGAGAATGTAATAAGGTCTTACTCTGAGGTAATTAAAATAATGCAAAATGAAGCGTAAAACTTGGGAAGGCTTATCCATCAGCAGAAACTGAAAGCCGCGTTGTGTTATTCCAATGGATGAATCCGACCCTCCTCTAACAGCAATAATTTATTGAAAATGGTATTACCTTTTCATCAGACCAGAAAGCAACAGAACTCTCCTTATACAGATTCCCACCTCACCGGAATCTGAACCTACCATAAAATGGAGGATTGACTAGTTCATAAAGAGGAAGATTAAAGTTTACATCCCAGCGTTCTGTTGCATAATTATCTAAAAATTCGACATCCTTTGGATGTTTTTCAGCCGTTTCTGACCCCAAGTCACTTAGTAACCGCTGACCCCTAAAGTTGTTAGGGGAAAGCCTCTATTACCCGCCAAAAAGAGAAACTCTCATAGAATCTTGAAATTTCTTATTTAGGCGCCATGATCCTCGGGATGTGTTGCTATCAATGCTGTGCCAAATTCGGAGGTCGCTGAGATCTTTGCATGCTTGCTGAAACACTTCTTGCGATCCCTTTGCTACCCAGCCAGAAACTATTGCTTTTGGAATTGTTTGTTCGAGAAATAACAGTCGGAGGACCAAATGTTTAGCCAGTTCTGAGAGCTCTCTGAAACAAATTACAGTATCTATGTCAGTCAAACCTGAAGACAATAAGACAAGCTGGAGGATGACCATAAAGTGCATCAAGTTCGTTGGCGTCGATAGTCTTCAAATAATCAAATAAGGTCTTGCAGTCATCCGTAGTAGCCATATTGTAGCGGGCCGGAGATGTCGAGGTTGGCACACACTTAAAGGAGAGATTCACACATATGAGTCTCCGGACGTAACGCCGAACGGGTTTGTCAATCACCACGACACGCAATCAGAGAATAAGGAGATATAAGGATAACGCGATAGTAAGAAATAGGGTCTGTTGATATAAAAAGGAATGGTAAACAATAAAGAGCGGGAAGTATACGATACGGGGGATA